ATATATATATATAAAATGGATATATATATATATGTGTGTGTGTGTATGTGCCCCGTGCGTGTATGTGTGTGTTTCTGTATATATATATATATATATATATATATATATACGGAGAAAGAGAGAGAGAGAGACAAATAGTTATAGGAAATAAATTAAATCCGACATATTGTTATTTTATTTTATTTTGTTTAAAACGTTAATTTTGATGTATACTCATATTCAAATTGAAGCATTTTTTTTATTTAAACACTATTTTTATCCAACTATATCTACCGTACTCAATCTTCGCGAAACCTTGTCATATATATATATATATATATATATATATATATATATATATATAATAAGTAAAGTGAACATAGAAGTCAAAACTCAGAGGCGAATGGGTGTTTCAATTGGCTGCCTGACGATTGCGCCTAGCATGAAACAACCTGTCGCTGTTGACTTCAATGTTCACTTTTATATTTACACACGCTCTATCTCTGATATTGAGCACTTTATCCCATAAATATAGCGCACCTTAAAATATATATATATATATATATATATATATATATATATATATATATATATATATATATATATATATATATATATATATATATATATATATATATATATATATATATATATACACACACACATATATATATATATATATATATATATATATATATATATATATATATATATATATTAGAAATCCATCCTCAAAAGTAAAAAGAAAGAGGACTCCACTTATACCATCTCTTACGATGATTGTAAGGTGTCTATTTTCCAAAATTCTTAAAGTGGAATTCCATTTTCTTACGGCTAAACCTGTTCTTCGCTTCCTGAGATAGATATCAATGTCTCAATCCTCTTGCAGGAACTCACAATCGCCACGGTCACGAGACTGGTGGTTACATCAAGGACGGGTTTTCCTGTGGCAGCGACCCAAAATCAAGGACTCTCATCTCCCGTATATGTGTCTCCGCGTGACACTTATCAATCGTACCTCGTTCGTCTTTGCTCTGTATCGTTCTCAGGATAAAAGGTCGGTAATATTCGATTGAATATCAGCGGGGATTGACAACATCGTCATCGAATTTCTCGCGGTCAACTTTCACATATGCGTTGAATTCAATGTTCCCCACAAAGAATGGTTGGTGCATTCTAACAAAACCGAACAGACTCCATCGCATTGAAGAACCCATCCGAATCCCAGATGCGACAGGACAGAAGCCGAACCTTTTTTTCTAAAGCTCTGCCCTGACAAACGTTCAGAAAAATTTTTCGCCGTCATTTTCACGTGAAATTATTCCCTTGCCGGTATCCGGATTTATTTCAAACCAATGATATCTCCTGATTTACCGTTCCATAATAGAATTCTTTCGCTTTGCTAAGGAAGGCTGGAACAGCTTTTGGTCCAACATGGCGGAAGGCCTTCACCTAAACTTCTACAAACATGCTACACCCAAAACTGTTGCTCTTATCTCTGAATGACTGTTTTCTCAAATGGAGACTTTTATCCTCTTCGCCAAAAATAACGCAGCACTAACATAACAGTCATTCCTGTTTTACCCAGAAATTCGGGCAGCAGGCATAGCTCATTGCAACCAATACTTCAAACTCTGGCGCAAGGATGCCAGCGTAGTTTCTCACTTCGTTCTCTCAGAACCGTAAGAGTCCTGGAAAAAGCAAAAAGTGTAGCTGTCCAGGCGGCGGTTGAAAATAAACATATTGGATCTAGTGAATTCTGGAAGATCAGCAACAAAATTATGAACAGAGGCAAAGCGGTAGTGCCTATTATAAATGGCACTGATATATATATATATATATAGTCTTAAGGTGTGCTATATTTATGGGATAAAGTGCTCAATATCAGAGATAGAGCGTGTGTAAATATAAAAGTGAACATAGAAGTCAACACAGAGGCGACAGTCTGTTTCATGCTATATGCAATCGTCAGGCCTGACGATTGCATATAACATGAAACAGACTGTCGCCTTTATATATATATATATATATATATATATATATTCCATTACATTCACTTACGTGCTAATACCCTTGGGAAAGGTGGAATCCTCTTCTAGATTTTCCCGGAGGAGTAATGGATAGCGGCTCGGATTGAGGAATCAGAGAGCCGAGTTCGAATTCAATCGAATCCATTACATTCACTTATGTGCTAATACCCTTGGGAAAGGTATGAATCCTCTTCTAGATTTTCCCGGAGGAGTATGGATAGCGGCTCGGATTGAGGAATTGAGAGCCGAGTTCGAATCCCAGTCGAATCCATTACATTCACTTACGTGCTAATACACTTGGGAAAGGTATGAATCCTCTTCTAGATTTTGCCGGAGGAGTAATGGATAGCGGGTTGGATTGAGGAATAGGAGAGCCGAGTTCGAATTCCAGTCGAATCCATTACATTCACTTACGTGCTAATACCCTTGGGAAAGGTATGAATCCTCTTCTAGATTTTCCCGGAGGAGTAATGGATAGCGGCTCGGATTAATGAATAGACTGGGTTCTATATCCTTGGATGGCAACAGGTCTAGGAGGACAACTCTGAATTCAAAACCTGCGGAGGGTCGTTTGGGGACCTTGTGGCACGTAGTGCACCAGGTCTCTGTATTCGGCTCTTCAAAAGTGTGGATGGTCCTGCACGAAACCTTCACCACTATAATCGAAACTCATGTGCCGGTGTCGGGCTGTCAGTTTCCTGGAAACTGATCTGCTTGACCCTCATACGTCGAGTTTCGAAGGGGGATTCGACTATATATATATATATATATACATATATTATAAAATGGACAAAGTCCGACAATAATTTTTAAGACATTTTTTATGTTTATACGTTCTTTTTCTAGATACAATAGCAGATACAACATAATCTGTCTCTGTTCTTGTTCCTTACCAATGTTCCTGTTTCTAAATCTTCCGCACAAAGTAACCCGTTGCCTCTCATTGCCTTTACTCTCTTGCTTGGGGTGAATTCGATTAAAATAAAAATAAAAATCAAATGGGATTCAACTCAGCTTTCTAAAAGGTGTAAGTAAAATTCTTGCATAATAATCATAAAAAAAAAAAGATTTAGAGATTAAAAACCGATTAAATGTCATCGGTCCGGTCTTTGGAACATGAGAAGGGATTAAGATTAGTTTTCCGCTACCTTCTGAAAGATTTTCATTCTCTTTCACTCACAGTAACCCGTCTTGGTTCAGGGAAATCATATCCTTGCTTTGGGTGAATTGATTAAAAATATATCCACCAATCCAGTACATTGTGGCCTATCGTTTGAAATGGAGATATCTTAATGTATTGGTTTAAATCCACAAGAAACCATTTCTTCGCAAGTAAATATATTACAAGGTCTGAATCCCGGAAACATTCGATAGAAGTGGCAGATCTTCATAAAACTGGTTTCCTGGGCTGTGTATTGCGCAGTCCACAAGGAGAAAAATTATCGACCACGTTTTATATTTCCTATTAATCTTAATGTTTTTCGGATTTAATTAATTTTCGAATCAATAGTCGAGCCTCTGTTGTCAAAAGAAGATTCCGAAACGACTGGATGCCTGATCGTGCGGATGAAGGAATTACTGGAGAAGATGAAGGCTTTTCGGTTTGCTTTAGTATTATTGTTATTCTTTGGGTCGATATAGCAGAATGAAAGATGGCTGGTGCTTTTTGTGGCTGATTGACCGGGTTTGGAATAGATAACTTTTTGGCAAAATATACACAAACGGAGCTAATTATTTGGCAGAAATTTCCGTGATAAGATTTTCTATTCGGACGAGAATGATTCCGAAACGACTGAGAACTTTAGCCTTGCTTGGAAACCATCTAAGAGAAGGAAAACTCTGAATTCAAACAGCATGGAACTGAAAAACTCATGATTGTTAGTGGCAATGGTGGTGAATGACTATGTGACTCTCTCTCTCTCTCTCTCTCTCTCTCTATATATATATATATATATATATATATATATATATATATATATATATATATATATATATATATATATATATATATTAGAAATGGTCCTTTGACAGGATTCGAACAATCCTATACGGAACCGTTTAAGACGAATATTTTTGTATGAAATTCTCAAGACATTCAGGCCGGTAAATGTTATTTTTGTATAATAATTATAAACAAAACATTTACTTAAATACTTGTATCTATAAAAGAATGTTAAACATAAAAAAGAATGTTAAAAAAAAAATCTTTAATAAATTGTCGGACTTTTTCCATTTCTTAATATATATATATATATATATATATATATATAAATATATATATATATATATATATAATGAGCCAGGAACAACCTACTAATGTTTCACTTAAACAGATCTTCAGGATAATTTTGCATACCCTGAATATATATATATATGTGTGTGTGTGTGTTCCTCTTGACCCACATTTGTTGTCTGCCTGAGGGAGGACTTCCAAAAAGAAGAAACAAAAAACCGTTCTCTGGATTATTCATTCCATTAGCCAGTATTTGTAAGAAAGATCCTTGGTCAAATAGAACTTGGAAATGGACTGAATTCATTGATTAATTTCTTTTTTTACGGGTTAACAACCTTTTACAGGTTATTTAAAGCCAGAAAATAGTTTTAGATTAAAAGAATTGTTTCTGAGATAATAAAGGTTTAGTGATAGAAGTCTTACTAATTCACACATAGCTGGGGTGAATAGAGGTAGATTAATGCATAATCAGATTTTATTGACGACAAATTATAATGTGGGGGATCAATTCCATAATGCAATTAATATGTAAACTGAGCCCTCACTTTTTGGCCGTGATAGTTTCCGTGACATTTATATACTAGAGAAAGTAAATAAATCTAAAAGGCATGCCAGTGTGGCTAATAAATATTTGTCAGGATCGGTTCTATTGCAGATCCTTCTTCGAATTTTGCCCCAAAATCTCAAGATATACAGCAGAAACAGTAGACCAGATATGGTTCTCATTAAAGAAAATATTGAACTTCACAGCTTCGTATCTAGGAGATAGGGATGATGTCAACTCGTGCTTCTTCCCTTGGTTTACTTGGCATCTGTCTAAATTTCTCACATGACAGCAAGAGTTCCTTGGAAGCGGGTGCCAAGAACCACAATTCTGTTTGGCAACACCATGACAGAGGATCGATTAGTGAAATGGACATAACAATTACATAAGTAAATACAGACACGGTAAATACTAGGCCTTATGTAAATGTACTGTTAACCCTTAAACACACCAGCGCAAACATTCATACATATATACATACATAGGTATTTGGCGTATTCGGACAGAAGTTTCCCATTTAGACAAGTTTGTATATATTATCTTACGCTTGAGTACTTTTATCTCGTGTTGTCCTCGAGCAGTTCACAGTGGCTTTTTTACACTTTACTTGATACTGCACATTTCTGTTGTCCGTCAGTGTTCAATAATGGTTAAGCCGAGCGGAAAGACCTCAGAAACAGGAAATGGGTTCAAATATCTACGTACAAAGTCAAGAAAATAATCAGGAAAAGAGAAAAAAATTATATATATATATATATATATATATATATATATATATATATATATATATATATATAATTAAGAACAGTAAGAAATATAATCCGGTGTTCTTATAGATATTTTTATTTTTTACAAAATAGTGCTCAATGTAAATTTACAGAGAATTAACATAATATATATATATATATATATATATATATATATATATATATATATATATATATATATATATATATATCGTTTCTTTTTCCTCATTAATTTCTCATATATGTGTTAGGGGACCTTACCCATAATAACATAATGGACTATTCTATACGTAATAAATACTGCACCTCAAGAGGAAGTTTAGAGTTCCGTCTGAAGTCTGGAGTAGAGTGAAGTCTGAAGTCTGGAGTGAAGTCCGTCAGGAGTCAGTCAGTCGAGTCAGAGGCAGTCCGAAACAGAGTCGCGTTCAAACAATTACTACTAAACCTGATTGTTCGTACTAACACTTTTCTACTTCTCTGTATATATTCCTGTTTGTAATATATCTGTGTTATTCCATATCCACCTTCGAGTTCTTCATGGTACAAGGAACCGGACCATAACAATATGTTACAATGTTTATTGCAATATTTATTGCCTTACTATTGCATTGATGTTTTGATCACTGAAATCTTACACTTCGTTCTTTATATATATATATATATATATATATATATATATATATATATATATATATATAGTCCGTCGTCAAGTTTTTCAATTCTCATATACTTGTATTTTGATTGATCATTACAGCTTATGTAACAGCGTTTCCCCTGGCGAGGAGTGTTTTTTGATTGATTTGAACCTTTTTAAACAATTTATTCTACATTCAACACCATTCTTTAAAAAGGCTAAAATAGCTGTTAGCGTTTGATTGTGAGGGGAATCAGGGATTTATCTCCCCCGATTGGGTCGACTTGCTGAAGGGGTGTTTGATGTTGAAAGACCCGAAACTCCCTGATGTGTCAAGTCAAATTACATCACTGACGACCCCCTCCGGCGCTTACTTAAGATCGTATTTTGGAATTATATATATATATATATATATATATATATATATATATATATATATATATATATATGGTCCGTTGTGAAGGTTTTGAATTCTCATATACTTGCGTTTTTTTATTGGTCATTCCAGCTTATGTAACACTTTTTCCCTAGCGAGGGGTGTTTGATTGATTTGAACCTTTTAAAACCCTTTATTCTACATTCAACGCCATCACTTGGCGTATTTGAACAGAAGTTTCTCATTTATACAAATCTGTATATTTTATCTTACGCTTGGTACTTTTGTCTCGTGTTGATCTCGAGCAGTTCACTGTGGCTTTTTACACTTGAGTTGATATTGCACATTTCTCTTGTTCGTCAGAGATCAATAAGGCTTAAACCGAGCCGAAAGATATCAGAAACAAGAAATGGATTGAAATATCTACCTACAAAGTCATGAAAATAATCACGAAAGAGAAAAATATATTATATATATATATATATATATATATATATATATATATATATATATATATGAAGAAATATAGTCTTAAGATGTGCTATATTTACGGGATAAAGTTCTCAATATCAGAGACAGAGCGTTAAATATAAAAGTGAACAACATAGAAGTCAACACTTAGAGGCGACAGTTTGTTTCATGCTATATGCAATCGTCAGGCCACGTGTGCTGACGATTGCATACAGTATGAAACAGATTGTCCCCTCTAAATGTTGACTTTATGTTCACTTTATATTTATATATATATATATATATATATATATATATATATATATATGTGTGTGTGTGTGTGTGTGTGTGTGTGTGTGTGTATGCATTGTTACCATATTTACTGC